GAAATAGGAAGTGGGATTCAGTTGTATACGGCCGCTAGTGCGACAGCAGGAAGCTTTGCCGTAGCCCTGGACGGCTCGCCATACGGCTCCTTCTCCATCTCCAAGGAAGAGGGTCAAGACGAGCCCTGTGCTGCGCGGTTGATTGTCGATATTAATAGTTTGCCTGCTACCCAACATACTCTCAAAGTCACCGTCATCGAGGGCCTCACGGATGGCGGACTCAACTTTGTATTCGCTGGATTTGGGTATGTCTCTGCTCGTTTGTTTTAAGCCTCTTTTTCTAACTTTACTAGTCTCTCGTCTGTCTCGTCGAATTCGTCGCGGTTGACGAATCCCACTGCGGCTGTGACTCCTACTCCCAAGTCCAATATCGGGGCGATCGTAGGAGGAGTCCTGGGTGGTCTAGCGGGTCTTTCCCTCATCGTACTCGGTCTCTTCTTCCTGCGCAGGCGCCGCATCGCTGCTGCCAAAGAGGCCAGTCAACCCGTCAGCCCCTCCAAATCCGTCGAGGACGATCAACAGACGCTGTGCGGCATTGAAGCAGACAAGCAAGCGGCTGCCAAAGTCTAATTGCTGTCCTCCCGCATGATTACCCTTCCTTACTATACACTTACAGTGCGGCCCAAAAATAGAACAAGAGAATGGCCGACTTAACAAACGTATCATATGGCTCAAACCTTTTAACCGATATTGTAACATTTTCTCTTTTCCGAACTTTCCAACCTACGAGCTATGTCCTGCGGACTCTACCTCCCTGCCCATACTCCTACTCTTTTAGCTTTTTTGCTGTAATCTAGAATTGACAGACCCTTGAATAGATTCAGGGTGACTGCACATACCTCGTGATAAGTTATGTGAGTTTGTCTGACGAGCGCAGCTAGGCTTCTCCATAGCCTCCACCAGACACAGCGGCCGTGCTCTCCCGCGTGCTCAGTTTATCTTCGGCCAGATGCAGCCATATAAACCCTAACATTCAAATTGTACTATACACCTGGGGTGAGAACCAAAACTCGATTTCGTTTTACAGTTGGGCGCCACTGGAACGATCGCGGACTACATGGTAAAATCTACTCCCAAATCAACCGTCCATGAACGATCCGAGAGTCACTTTTCCTCAGGCTAATTCATTGTCCTCTTCAATGGCTACACGATGACTGACAGGACTGACAACCACTCGTCCTGTCGGCGTTATTACTATGTACTGGTTTCCCCCAGTAGGGCTTAGCTCAATCCCCCATCCTACAGGACAAAAGGTGTTGAAACCGAGTATGAGGTGGGGTTGTTTGTCAAACAGAGTTATGACACGTCCCAAAACACCAGACGTGTCAAGTCTTGACGAAAAACATTGGTATTTCAGGGACATATTCAAAAGGAGATATTGATATCGCTTACTTTTCAAGTTTAAAGTCTTTCATCAAATCCAGGAATGCATTGTAACGGTGTGGCCGGTCATGAAAACGATCCTTAATCGCATCAAGATAACTCAGTGCATCGGTGACATTTAAGGATGTCACAGCCTATGGTCAAGTTTGAGTAAGTTTCGCCATCAGTGTCAAAAGAATAGGGACTGGCCAGCCAAAGCCAGTCAAGGAGAAAAACGAGTGTTCTTCAGTTCAGAATGATGTCCATACTCACCCGAGAATTAATCAATGACACCAAGCGGAATCTTCTCCACTCCTCATCTATGCTGGATTGAACTCTTGTGGATTGCTGCGTGCTTGTACCTGCCGATCGATCAAGTGACTGGCCTTCCGCCAAATGGCTCTGATCTTCATTTGAGGGTGTCACCGTTTCGATGTGTACACTTCCCGCTCGGAATACTTTCGAACATCGCGAGCTGTAGATAAAATTAGTATTTATATCTGTGTATGAGAAATTACATACCACTCTATCCAAGTGTCATCGCTATAGTTAAAGATTGTCCGAGCACACCCGGGACAATGCAGCAACGACCCCGCATTTGATCGTCGAATCATACTCATTTCCACTCGAAGCCCAGGTTGTGCTACGTTCATCCACGTATCTGGTCTCACGATCATCTTGTTATCTCCGGTTACAAGTTCATATTCTCCTTGTTCGACTAAATACCTGCCTGGAGGTTTCTGGTTCTTGAAATATATCTTTATCATATCCTGAAGTGACTAGTTCACTGTATTAGCCATGAAGACGGTAACGAATAGCCAACCCATACCTCATAAGTGCGGGAGAAATTCATCGGTATCGATACGTAGTTCCCGATGGAGTCGACTAAGGTAATCCCTAAAACAGTTTCCTGCATGACGTCTCGCACCTGCTTGATCGCCATTGGGGACAATGCTTGGTGCGACTGATGCTGTTCAGGTTGAAGCCTGTGACACTTGAGTCTTGTACGTCTAACGGGTGTGAACAATACGTACTTGGCTGTGATCATCGTGGCTGCTCCGTCTACAAAAGCAGGAATTATTACCATCATCAAAATCTGAAGGAGCACTCACTGAGCTCTCTTAGTGTTACTGTTCCGATTCTTTGTACAAGACATGTCGATAACGTGTCTATGGAATCGATGACGATCGCCTCCCCTAGATAGACGTACGTATGGTCCGTGATGGGACCCAAGTTGTGCCAATCCGATTTTTTTATGCATCCCATCCCACTATCTACGTTCAACCTGAGATAGCTCGAAACATGGCGCAGCTGATGTGATAGTTCTGCCGCAACCCTTTCACTTTCGTGCACAATTCGGCTTAGGGTCGCCTGAATCATGTTTTCGCCTGTAGAGACTTCTGTGAGGGACAATGGTGATGGCCGGCCGGAGCCAAGACTGAGAAGGCAACATATTCGTTTGTCACCAAATGTCAACCATGCTTCCTTAAGGACTTCACGTATAGGATTGTGGAAAGTAAGGGGTACCCCTATGAATTCCTGTTTCATGAATGGTCGTCCAATAGCAGTTGGAGAGAAGTCTGGCGGGTATGTAAGAATAGCACAGGCTGCCTCTACAAAAGTTCAGTCAGGATGCCTAGAGCGAGGAGAGTCGTATGTGCGAAAAGGGTGACAATGATAGACATTGGTAGTCGTAGTAGCAAAGACAACCCTGCAATAGTCACGTTACAGCGCATCCATCGTATTTACAAAACTGTTCACTTACACTTTACACGTCGCATTAGAGCCGTTCCTGTCATTGAGCTTCATATCTATGGGAAGGTTCCTTCGGTAAAGTAGGTCCTCGATAGTACTCCTTAATTTGGTTGTATTGAATTGAGGGGTTGCTATCTCATCGTGGTTGTTTGGGAAAACAGCATTGCCGATAGCGGCGAGTTCGTCCATGGCTTCG